TTGGTGCATAATTCCTTTTATCATTATGAAGTTTCCCTCAGTATTTTTCTTTACGTTTTTTTTTTTATTTTGAAGTCTGTTTCATCTGATATTAGTACCGCTGCTCCTGCTTTTCTCTGAATGCCATTTGCTTGAAATATCATTTTCCACCCTTTCACTTTGAGCCTATATTTGTCTTTTGAACTGAAATGTGTCTCCTGGAGGCAGCATGTTTGGGTTTTGTTTTTGATCCATTCTGCAACTCTGTGCCTTTTTATTTGTGAGTTCATTCCATTTACATTTGATTATTTAAATATGAGATTTTCATGTAACCATTTTATGTTTTGCTCTAGTAGCTTGGTGTTTCTATTGCTTCTTTGTCCTTTTGTGTCTTTATTTTTATCATTTTGGTTTGCTTTGTGGGTTTTCCCTCTTTTATTTTTTGTTTTATGTTATATACTTCAGTTCTGAATCATTGGCTTGTGGTTACCATTACGAATATGTAGAGGATATTTATATATATATTTAGTCCATTTTCCTCTGTGTGTGCCTTATCTCCATTCCCCTTTGCAAATTTGAATCTTTGAATCTTCCCTTTTTCTGTCATTGTTGTCTCAATTTCCCCATACATATTCTGAACATTCATTACTATCTTGCTATAGCAAATCTCTTCTTATTGTTGAAGCTTATAATGCCTTGTTCTTAGGAAGGGTTGTACTCCTCTGCTTCTATCTGCCTGCTAGTCACCTCATTCATAGTTATGCATGGTTTTTTGTTATTTTGTTTTAGGTGAACTGACCCCTTTCAGTATTTCTTGTAATGCAGGCCTCGTAGTGGAGAATTCCCTCAATATTTGTATGTCTGAAAGGTCTTTATTTCTCCTTCATATCTAATGGATAGCTTTGCTGGATACATTATCCTTGGCTGGTAATTCCTTTCATTTAATAGTTTGAATATTTAGTTCCACTCCTTGCTTGTAAGGTTTGTGCTGAGAAGTCTGAAGATAGTGTAATGGATTTCCCTTTATAGGTTATTGTCTTTTTTCCCTGGCTGCCTTGAGAATTCTTTCTTGGTCATTAATTTTTGATAATTTTAATATAATATGTCTTGAAGAAGGCTTTTTTGGGTTGAGATAATTAAGTGTTCTGTTAGCTTCTTGGATTTGAAGCTCCAGCTCATTTCTTAGATTTGGGAAATTCTCCTTGACTATTTGTCTGAATACACTCTCTGATCCCTTCTCTCTCTTTTCTCTTTTTGGTATATGCATTATTTTTATGTTGCCTTTCCTGATGGTGTTAGCCAGTTCTTGTATTTCTCTTTCTTTGTTTTTTATTTTTTGGTCTCTCTCTTCTTTCTTCTGAATTATTTCTAGATTTCTGTCTTTGATATCACTGATTCTTTCCTCCATTTGTTCAGCACTACTTCCTAAACTTGCTATTTTAGTCTTCATCTCTTTTATTGTATTCTTCATCTCCAGAAGTTCTATTTGGTTCTTTTATAGAGTTTTAATTTCCTTGCAAAAACACTCATTTTTTCTGTTTTTTTTTTTTCACCCTCTAAATTATTGGAATTGTTGATCTGAATTATTTTGCATCTCATTGGGTTTTTTCAGAAGTGTAATCCTGAATTTTCTGTCTTTCAGACTTCATATTTCTATGTCTTTAAATTTATTTTCTGGAGATTTTTCTCTTTCTTTCTGAGCTGCCTTGTCACTCCAGTTGTTCTTTTGGGGTTTCAATCTCCTTGCTAAAGAACTCATTCTGCTCATGTAGTTGTTTTTTCAATTCCTGAAATTGTTGATTTGAGTTATTTCGGATCTCATTAAGTTTTTTTAGAAGTACCATCCTGAATTATCTGTCATTCAAGTCGCATATTTCTATGTCTTTAAGCTTATTTTCTGGGGATTTTTCTCTTTCTTTATGAGATGCCTTGTCACTTCGGTTGTTCATGATGTTTAATGGACTATTTCTTCACCTGGGCATTAACGGAAGTGTATTCTGCTTTATTTCCAGAAAGATTTTTTTATAGAAATGTCTCTGTTCAGCTTGTTGCTAAGATGACATTTTTCTTTTGATTTCCAGTAAGTAGCATCTAAGCCTCTTGGATCCCTGCGTTATATGAAGTCTTAATAATGCCTTTTTTTTCTTATAGATATTCAGTCATGCTCCCTACCCTAAGACTCAGTCCCTGTCACTGTTAGCGACAGTTTTGGTAGCGTTTGCTGAGATTCCCCTTGAGCTCCCTGGTGTCCGATCTTGGAGGATATGGGGGGAAGGGTCCTTTGGGTTGGGTGATGGGGGCTGCTTCTCAACCTGGCATTTTGCATCCACGACTGGTAATAATCAACTGTTGTTTTTCTGCCGTCTTACTTCTCCGCTTTGTGCCCCGATGACTGGGACCTGCCACTGGCCATGTGGAGCTCACAGCACTCCCAGGCAGAGCTGTTCAGGGAAGTCACCGCACCTTCTCCCCTCCCCCTTCTCCTACAAGGAGCTCCAGGGGCTACAAGAGGCTGCTTCTTTATTTCTCCCAGTCCACCACTGAACACCCGGGTTTCTGACCTGTGGTAGCTTTTATGTGTTGATCCCATTCTCAGACGTGCTGGTGTGCAGTTTGGGTGTTTTTTGTTTAGTTTTAGTTGTTCAGCTTATTTTTGTTTCAAGGGCAGAGATCTGAGGACGTCTCTCACTCTGCCATGTTTCTGACATCCCCCATACTAGATTTTTTGTAGCAAAACCCAAGACATCATTTCAACTATTGAAAAGTAATACCAGTATAACACCTAAAATAATCGTTCTTAATATCTTCAAAAATCTAATCAATATTCAAATACCCTATATTATCTGTTGCATTCTTAATAAGATAAGGGTCCCTTAGCTTCACTTGCAAATAGTTGGTTGTCAACTTGATTAAAAGATTAGCCCAGACCTATTTTTCTAAATGTTCTTATCTCTATAATGATCTTCTACTTTGATAGGAGAATGGAGAATAGAAGCTTCTTAGGAGTAGCCTAGAAAATTGTTTTTAATTCATTGTATTCATTACTGCAATGCTTCCATATATCATGTATATCTGATCAGTTTTAGAAGGAAATGGAACATTTGCGGGTAGTGAAAGTATCTTTTAAAGCTGTATTTCTGAAAGTGTGGTCCTTGGACCAGCAGCATCACCATCACCTGGGAACTTGTTAGAGATGCAGATTCTCAGGCTCATCCTAGACCTCCTGAAGTAAACTCTGGAGGTAGAGCCCAGTAATCTGCGTTTTAACGAATGCTTCCGTAATTTTAGTGCAAGCTAACATTTGAGAACTGTTATCGTAAAGAAATTCCATTTAAATGCTTAGCCTCTTTGAATACCTCAATTTTATTAAGAATAGTATGTTTACATCTATAATCTTTGGCCAACTTGCAAAGTTAGTATTAGGCATCCTGATACAGGTGCTTTACAATTTCTATTATTTTCTTTCCAAAAATCCTAGGATTCTTTTGTATTTTTTTTTAGCAGTGTCATATATTTTGGGAGAGCATTTAAAAAGGAGCTCTGCTTTCTAAAATTCTTAAACAGACATAAAATGTAGATAACTTTGCTTGTCATAATACTTCTTGTCATTATATAACATAGCTCTTACAAGTTCTTAGGAATTCCTTCTGTTCTGGGAATATCAGTGGAATGCCTTGTCTCTGTCATATGACCATATGCCATATGAATGTCAAAAAGGGAGTAAATTATAGTTGTAAATCACAAGGAGCAAAAGGTGGGAAACCATTTTCAGCAATGGTTCTCCAGGGGGGCATTTTTGGTTGGCATAATGACTGGGAAGAGGGTGTCCCATTAGTGATAGGTAGGAGCCAGGGCTGTTAAACATTCTGTGGTGGGTGGGGAGTAGGAGGCAGTCCTGAACAGCAAATTATTTCCTCCAAAATACCAGCAACGTCCTGTGAAGAAACACTTCAAAGGATGCTATTCTGAGCACTTTCCATTGTTTGAATTATTTCAGACACATTTGCCAAGTGCTGACAAAAATCATGGTTAAAATATAGTTTTGCAAAATGGCCAGCTGACTATATGCCTGCCTA